CATCACACACCTTAAGAAGTGCTGTCATAAAGAATGATGTAATTACAAAAAAATTGGAAGATACACCCTCTATGTTTCTTATTCCTGTGATTGCAATACAAAATAATCATATAGTGCTGTGTAAAGTAACACTATATATTAGTTTTTTTAATGTTTGTAAATCATTGTATTACTTTATATGTAGTGTGTGTGGTGTATGCCGGTTGTATTAATGTGTTTGCGTGTGTAAGTGTGGTGTGTGTTGGTTCAGGGTCTGAACTAATGTAGTTAGCACCAGGGCCCATCAGAATTTAGGGGCCCAGTCATGACCACCCATCTGGGGATAGAGAGCCAGCAGAGGTAAGTTGAAGTGAGAGCACACCCAAGTTTCTTACTACCAGGCAAGGTCCTATAAGCGGCAGGTAGCAATAGATTCTGAGTCAGTCGCTGGCTCCATCCAGCGCTACACCTTCTCATTCCAGAATGCATGCTGATGGTGGAGGAAGCAACTGTTTAAGCCTTTGTGTGCAGCCTCAGGTCTGCAGAACAGGAAGAATCCCACCCCTTTGTTGAGCGTGTGAGTCAGCCTGTCTGTGAGAAGAAAGGGAAGAGGACTGGGTATCTGATGCCCCTTTGTCTGCAAAATTTTAAACATGTGGTGTGTCAGTAAACCATGTGAGGTGCTGTGACATGCATGGAGTGTGTCTGAATTACAGAGTGGATTCTGCCTGTGAACTGCAAGGAGGGTATCTGTGAGTGGCATAGCATATCTCTTTGTAGTACATGTAAGGTGTGTGTGAGAGCTGCATGTAAATTTTGGGATATGCAAGGAATGTGTCCGTGAGCTGCATGGTGTGTTGATGTTTGTCTAAACTACGTTTTGGTGTCACTGGCAAGTGCCTTGCTGAGCCACAAGTTGGACCCGTTCAGTCAGGGCCACTGGAGGTCTGCCAGGCAGTGACTGGGCCCAGCACTTTAGGAGCCAGGAAAGGGTCCTTCCACAGTGTGTGGATAGCAAGGAGAAAGGCCAACCCTCAGAGCGAATAGGGAGGGGTGAGCATGACTGCCGCCCGGAGGGGTTGGCATAGCAACCAAATGGATACAGTTGGTTTGACAGTTCGAAGCAGGGAATTCTGGGAACATTACCAGACTACTCGTGAACAATGGTGAGGGAGCCTGGCAATGTCTTTCCCCACCCACACTCCCCAATGGTTCTATTCTGGAATTGTTGTTTTGTGTTGTGTTTTCTCTGTTTTTCATTTTGTCACAGCTGCGGGTTTCCTGTGATAGCAAGTTTGGTAAATGAATAATGCCCAGATGGGCTTGGGGAGTCGCAGCCTGAATTTGGTTGATGATGAAGGACAGGCTGTAGAAGCTCTGGATGGAGTTAAAAGTGTACCTGTCTGCTGGGTAAAACCAGCCGCTGGCAGTATTTGGTTGTGCTGGTTTAAATAAAGCTGTGGCCTTTGCTGTTACCCACTTAACATGGTGTTGCGTTACTTATTGGGAATGGAAGGGTAATGGGATTTGGTGTTTGAAGCAGTCAGCAGTCATGTGTAGATCTATTTGAGTTGAAGGAAGGAGTTACTTGAAAGAGGATAATGGTCACCTATTTGGGTGTGGGAGGGGATTATTTGAGAAGGGAATGTGTCATTCCAATTTGAGAAGATGGATAGTTGGCATGCAAATGTGGCAAATTTATTTTGGGAATAGAGAGTATTCATAGACAGGCAAATATTGCAAAATCTAATTTGGGCAGGATTAGGGTTAATTGTTAGGAAAATGTAGTAGTCTAAATCGGGGACGGAGAGGATGGACTGGCATGGGGATGTTGGGTCTTGTAACTATAGATTTGGTTATTTGGCAGTGGCAAGTAGAAACATATGGGGATTTAGAGATTTATTGTTTGGCGTGGTAAAAAATCTTGCACCAGGGCCCTTTTTTCATTAGTTCTCCTACAGGGCTGGCTGTAATGTGGTATGTGGTGGCTGTATGTGATGTGTGGTGTATGCTAGATGTATGTGGTGTTGGAGTGTGTATACTCCTCCTGCTTAGCTTTCTGCAAGGATAGTGGTGGGGGGGGGGAGTTATAATCCCTTATGGTCTAATGGGCTGACTTCCTGGTGGGCAGCCCTGCCCCTCTCACCTGCAACATGGGTAAAAGAAGAAAATGCCTGCTCGGTGACTCTACCTACATGCACTGGTTATCTGTCATTTTACTGGACTGTACACTACGGAGCATAACCTTTTTTTCTTGAGATGCTCCCTTTTCTTTTACATTTACAGAACAAAATATGATTAGCAGCCTTGGAGTTCTTAACCTCTTAAGGACACGACATGTGTGACATGTCATGATTCCCTTTTATTTCAGAAGTTTGGTCCTTAAGGGGTTAAAAATCTGGGCTGTGTTCACATCCGGGGGTGAGATGAATAATGTGAAAATTGGACAGATTCCATAGAACCATGATTTGGTAAGGTAGGGTGATATATTCCCATTTAATTTACACTATATTAAATCTGAAACTTGCAGCGCCTCAAAACCCAATTTTTATGCATGCACCATAATAATATTTAAAATACTTTATATATACTGTATATATATATAACCCCTAGATCTCTTCATGTAAAAACCAACAGTAATAGTGCAGATAGTCTATGCAAGTAATAGGATGATTGTAGCGGAGATGCAATATTCCCCAGGTTATCTCCGCTTATAATCCAAGTGAGGCTCAGGAACAAGTAAATAGTAAATCCACAGGCAAGGTTTCCAGCAGGTAAAATAACAGCAATATCCCACAGCAATCCCAATAACTGGACGACACACAGTTTCAGGAGCAGAACTGAAAGCTTTAATCCACAGTCTCCTTTTAAAGCATGCTCCCATGCAAGGGAGGGATTTACAATCATTAATACAGTAGCCAATCCTGTCCTGGTAACCTCCCACACATCTCCTCCCCTCAGCCAGCATCATAATCCCCTTATCCAGTACAGTAATTCCCCCCGTTTCTGGATGTACCCCTAAACGTAGGGGTACCTCTTTAAATCCTACATCCCCGGATAGCCCTGATCTGGGTGCACAACATATCCAAAAATCACCCAGATCAGACCAGGGGTTCGGGAAATGTATGGAGGGAATAAAATGACCGACCGCACTAACTGAGACAGCCGAATGAGGTTCCATGCAAATGGGCCCTGCGGTCGGTCCTGGCATAAGGGAACAAAATACACGAAAGCCTAGGGAGGGTTCGCCTGAATCCCCTCGTTCGGTTCTTTCTATCTACCGAACGAGGGGCCGTTCGGTAGTTAGGAACCGAACAGACCGGGCTTGTGGAGGTCTCAGCGGTGTTCGCCTACTCGAGTGTCCGATTTTAGTTCCAGACACTCGACGGCAAAACACCGCTGTTTGGGAGTTTTAAAATGGCCGCCACGTGTTCGTTTGTCGAATGGCGGCCACCCCCGAGAACAAAGGACGGCTACTTACTAGTCAATTACCCGTTCGCAACAATGTTGCAATGGGTAATTGAGGACACACTTCACACAGGGGAGGTCTGGTTGTTCGGTAGTTTCATTCGAATGAACTAAGGGAATGAAACTACCGAACAATCAGAGGAATACAATTCTTTTAAAAAAACATATAACACAGCAGATCACACGAATGCAGTTATGTACAATATATTTGCAGGACAGCCCGGTGCCATCCGCTACAATGATTATAATTATACAGTATACTTTATTCAGACAACAAAGACACACTTTATAAAAAAGATCATTAAAAAGCAACAGTAAGAGTTTTTTGTTGTTTGATGGAGAATAAAGTCTTTGTAATCCGTCTTCTAAGTCCGGATATAGTAATAGCCTGGGGTTGGTGACTACCCTAAAGTCACACACGCGCAATATACTAAGGCTCTCGTAGATGTGAGTCTTACTATTTATTCCTGCTATATATTTATAATTATTATATCATATAATTGTACAGATGTTCTACATGCATGAAAGGTGCTCCATTTTTCAAATGTATTGTATTTTCACTGATAGATCAGTGCATGTTTTGGGCGAGGTGTGCTAAAATGTGTAGCAGCAGTTCTATATTCTTACAGGAAGTATAAAAGGAACACTATTGTGTTAGTAATACAAAGTTGTATTTCTAACACTATAGTGTCTCACTGCACCCCCCTCCCCCTGGCAATAAAAAATCCTTTAAACACTATTTAAACGCTTACCTGGTTCCAGCTCAGAAATCCCTCGGCACTAACTCTTTCTCCACCTTCTCCAAAGTTAGCGCTGAGGGGAAACCAAATGCACATAAGCGGCAAGCGCCACACGCATTGGGCCTTCCCCAATGGAAAGCATTGAATCATTGCTTTCCTATGGCTGAAATTAGAAGACACTGGAAGTCCTCATGAATAGCGTAAGGACATCCAGCGTCATTTCTCTGAGTTAAACTTTGTGTAAATGAAGGAAGCACCTCTAGTGACTGTCAGGTAGATAGCCACTAGGGCCAATCTTAACACTGCACTATAAACATTACAGTTTCTCTGAAACTGCAATATTTTACATTGCAGGGCTAAAGGGACAATATGTGCCTACAGTGTCCCTTTAAGTAAAAAAATTTTTTTCTTAAATCTTAAATTGATATTTGTGTCATTTTTAATTATTTTTTTATTTTTTATTTGCTGTGCAGTTGACGAGCCATAGATCATATTATGCATAACACATTTAGGACATTTAGATAGTACGTGCACATTTTTAAGAAGTTAGTAAACATGAGTTAACCATTGCTAGAATATGTATGAGCTAGGGAGACATTACATGTTAAGCTTGGTATGGCTTTAGCTAATAACACGGTTTTCGTAGGTATATACGATTATATGTAGGATTATTCAAGAGGTTAATAGAAAGTAAACAGAGGCATATAAAAATCAGACTTGTATGTAAAGGTCTCTGACAGCTGCACTTGCACCTGGACCCGGTTGGGAGAGTATGCGGGTCATAGGAGAGTCTGTAGTGAATCGCCGTTCATCCTATTCCTGCTGCTGGGAGGTGGTTGAGACCCTTCTACTGGTACCGGGGAGGTGCTGCCGCTCAGGCGGGAGCGGGGCATCCCTCCAGCCCCAGGCTGGTGAGTAGGCCTGCGTCGTCTGGCCATACACTCGTTGGCGTACGTTGCCCGAGTGTCTCCCTCTCGTGGGGGTGGCAGGAGGCCTGTGGGTAGATTGCTGCTTGCGTTGCTTGAGCTGCCTCCTGTGTGGCCGGCGCCTTCGGGTCGGGACCCTCTTGGCCTTCAGCCCGGGTGGGCTAGGGTGGGTGAGTGACTGCGGGTGATCCGTTGCTGCGCCAGAGGGAGACCCCCTCTCACCCGGCTGCCCGTGGCTCCTCTCTCTCGTTCCCATAGGGTCTTGTTGCTGTGTCTTGGCACGCTGTGCGTGTTTCTGGAGCTTCTCCCAGAAGCTGTTTAGCAGGTTTTCCAGGCGCTCCTTAAGATCCATTGCGTGGTCAGGGTGCTGCCCAGGTGTTGCAGGCTTGGTCTGCTGTCGCAGTGAATGCTCTGCCGCCATTTTCCGTGTGCCTCGTGTCGCCGGCCCTGGTGTCCACATGCTATGCAGAGGCTTGTTCCAGGCTCGCGGCGAGGACTGGGATATCCCCCACTGGTCCCGAGGGGAGGTGGGGTAGGATGATTTCTTTCTTTCTCTTTTTTCTTCTCCATTCTCCATTCTGAGAGTTTATGAGAATTACTTTCAAAGGCTAAACAATTAGATACCAGTTGAATAGTTACAGAACAATTATCTATGAATACCTGATTTGTGTTTATAAAATTCATGAGCCATTACAACAACATACAGGTGATACTCGAAAAATTTGAATATCGTGCAAAACTTAATTTATTTCAGTAATGCAACGTAAAAGGGGAAACTAATATATGAGATAGATGCATTACATGAAAAGCAAGATAGTTCAAGCCGTGATTTGTCATAAGTGCAATGATTATGGCTTACAGCTCATGAAAACCCAAAATCCACAATCTCAGTAAGAGAATATTGTGAAAAGGTGCAATATTCTAGGCTCACAGTGTCCCACTCCAATCAGCTAAGTAAGCCATAATACCTGCAAAGGGTTTCTGAGCCTTTAAATGGTCTCTCAGTCTGGTTCAGTAGGAATCACAATCAGGGGGAAGACTGCTGACCTGACAGTTGTGCAGAAAACCATAATTGACACCCTCCATAAGGAGGGAAAGCCTCAAAAGGTAATTGCGAAGGAAGTTGGATGTTCCCATAGTGCTGTATCAAAGCACATTAATAGAAAGTTATGTGGAAGGGAAAAGTGTGGAAGAAAAAGGTGCACAAGCAGCAGGGATGACCGCAGCCTGTAGAGGATTGTCAGAAATAGGCCATTTAAAAGTGTTGGGGACTTTCACAAGGAGTGGACTGAGGCTGGAGTCAGTGCATCAAGAGCCACCACACACAGACAGATCTTTGACATGGGCTTCAGATGTCGTATTCCTCTTGTCAAGCCACTCCTGAACAACAAACAATGTCAGAAGCGTCTTACTTGGGCTAAAGAAAGACAGACCTGGTCTGTTGCTCAGTGGTCCAAAGTCCTCTTTTCTGATGAGAGCAACTTTTGCATCTCATTTGGAAACCAAGGACCCAGGGTCTCGAGGAAGAATGGAGAGGCACACACTGCAAGATGCTTGTAGTCCAGTGTGAAGTTTCCACAGTCTGTGTTGATTTGGGGAGTTATGTCATCTGCTGATGTTCGTCCACTATGCTTCATTAAGTCCAGGGTCAATGTAGCCATCTACCAGCAGATATTGGAGCACTTCATGCTTCCTTCCGCAGACGAGCTTTATGGGGATGCTGACTTCATTTTCAAGCACTGACAAAAGCACCAAAGCCTGGTACAATGACCGTGGGATTACTGTGCTTGATTGGCCAGCAAACTCGCCTGACCTGAACCCATAGAGAATCTATGGGGCATTGCCAAGAGAAAGATGAGAGACATGAGACCGAACAATGCAGAAGAGCTGAAGGCCGCTATTGAAGCATCCTGGTCTTCAATAACACCTCAGCAGTGCCACAGGCTGATAGCTTCCATGACATGCCGCATTGAGGCAGTAATTGCTGCAAAAGGGGCCCAAACCAAGTACTGAGTCCATATGCATGCTTATACTTTTCAGAGGTCCAATATTGTTCTATGTACACTCCTTGTTTTATTGATTGCATGTAATATTCTAATTTACTGAGATTGTGGATTTGGGGTTTTCATGAGCTGTAAACCATAATCATCGCACTCATGACAAATCACAGCTTAAACTATCTTGCTTTGCATGTAATGCGTCTGTCTCATATATTAGTTTCCCCTTTTACGTTGCATTACTGAAATAAATTAAGTTTTGCACGATATTCCACTTTTTTGAGTATCACCTGTAACAGGTGGAAAGCATAGCGTATAAGGTTATTATTACTTAAAACAGATAATTTTATGGGCGATTGTTTTAATTGTTATTAATTATAGCAATTAAATGCCTAATAGGTGGAATTGTAAATTAACATGTTATATTTTAAATGGTTATCATGCTGTAATGTACTTTGTTCATGTAGGGGGCTCACAAATTGGAATGTTATGGTTATTGTAATTACTTTCCCTTGTATTTGTATTTGTCCTTACATATGAAAGAGAATAAAAAGATAAATATATATATATATATATATATATATTTATATAAAAAAAAAATACATTGCAGCAGTAGGTGCAAAAGGGACACAGCACCCAGACCACTTCAATGAGCTGAAGTGTTCTGGGGCCTACAGTGTCCCATTAAATGCTTTAGCATATTGTTCAGCGTCACTGAATACCTGTCAGCGGAAAAATATAATTTAACAGTTACTGCAAACCTATAGTCATTGATTCTACCATATAATATACAGAATTAGAAAGAAAAATGTTTAAAAAAATAGAGCTGTATCAGGGGTAGAATCCATGTTTCTCCAGACGTACACATTTTGCACTTGTAATTTCTTTATCGTTGCATTCAGAACACATTGTTTTGTCTGTATATTTATGTTTAACTGGAGTCTACGTTTCTATACATTTACATTCCACCATGTGAAAAAAACCCTACTCCAGGCACAGACAAAGCATTTATGCATTTTACAGCATGTGGCCTAAATTATTACTTGTATTTAGTGCATGCTCAGTTTTGTATGTTTTTTTGCACTGGTACCCTGTAAGTGAGTTATCTCATAGTGGCTGTCACACATCTAATCTCTGCATAGAACGAATGCTAGTGCATTTTAACACTTGCACTGCTGGGTTGCGAAACAGACACTTCAAATACTTCATAGATCTGAATGGCCTGATTGGCCAAGCTACTTCAGTAGCTGAAGTGTGGGCAAATGTCAAGGCTTATAATGTAACATGTGGGTATTTGCATAAAAAAAAAAAATAAAAAAAAGAATTTTAGAGATTAGTATATTTTATTGCTTTGTATTGGTTGTTTCTGCGTATTTTATAGAAACCTAGGTCCCAACATTCACAGGACGCCAGTGGGAGGCGTGAAAGTGTGCAAGGCAGTAGTGCAAATCGTGTCACAGGCACAAAACAAACTCGGGCCTAAACTCATGACTGTCTTGCTATGTCTAACACCCAATGAATTTTCATCTTTACATTATATTTTGTTGTTGTCAAAACGTTATGCATTGTACTCTTTGATGGCTGCTAATATTGCACTAGTCATTTGAATAGCTATGTATGCTAATAAATTCCCCAGTCATACATTTTCAAAAGTATCTGCTCACACTACTCATCTCAGAGTATAAATCCGTGCCACGGCAATGTGTTCTCTGGTTGAAGTACATTTAACAGGCACCAATGTTGTGGTTGTTGTTGTAATAACACAAATATTTAAGAGGATCCTAGGACATCAGATGAATCATGTCAATACAACATAATAGCTAACAAATTGAAAAACCTAAATAATATTTAGTAGACTTGTGCATGACAAAAAAAATAAAAATTGGTTTGGCTGAACCATTTTTCCCCCAAACTAGAAAATACTTCTGAATACCCAAATTTCGCCCATGTCAGTTTGGCTCAGCAGAACTTACATTTCAGTAATGAATCAGGCAAACCAAGAACGCGCAGAAATAGGCTAATCATTGTAATGCAAAATTGATACATATTATTGTATATATTTATACACATTATGTATATATTTTGCAGTACATTCAGGGTCGCCGTCAGATATTTTGGGGCCCCTAACACAGCTCAAGGTCTGGGCCATTGGGCCTAGCGTCCAAGTCTGCCCACATGTCCCACCTCCAAATACGCAGTTTCTGTACAGTGCATACAGGGTGTGTCAGTGCTTGTGTAGTGGATGCAGAGTGTGTGTGTGTATATATATATCTAGTCAAAAAGAATGAGGGTACACTACAAGGGATTTTTCAATGAAAATATTGGTGCTCTTTATTGCAAACAAGCAATCGGGTGGCCCAAAGTGGAAGGATAACCCAATGGACCCTACTAGCGTGCGGGCCCCGGTGCATGTTTTTGGCACTCTTACTTGGGTTGTTATTCCATTTATCCGTCTTTCTATATTCCTCACCTTGGCTATTCCTGACTCTATTTTTAATCTTTATTAATGTTAAGTCTGGCCACTCTAAGGCCCGGTAAAATGTCTCTCGTACCTTTGTTGGTGGGGTTCTCCATTCCTGTAAGTTGGGGTACGACACTGTGACACTTTTTTACCTTCTATTGCTCACTTCTCACTTAATCTGTGAATAAAATTAACATTTTGGACTGTCCCCTAAGTATCAAGCATTTTTTCCCATCAATCATGTCCATTTTTTGACCACATGGGCAGGATTCAGAATCCAAAATCAAAACGTGCATTTTGGCCTGTTTGGTTTGTGATTCCAGTACATTTCAACTTAGAGTTTGGAAATTTGGATGATCATCCGATCGGCCCTAATTCTTCCGAACTGCTGTTCAGATCAATATGAATCTCCAAGTCTAACATTAAATGTAAGAGTCAATATCTCAAACTTGATGTTGGATCCTGAGTGCAGGAATGCCCTGTAATGGTGACAACAGCCTTTCTCTTTATTCAAATGTTAGGATAATTGTGTCATTCTTCCTCTTATGGAGAATACTTTAATCTCAGTACTCCAAGTACAGCAACAAAAAGTATTACGATTGAGATTAAGTGGTACGTCCGGCTGGTAAGAAAATAATGAATCTCCAATAATAATACAATCGCCTATACAATGTGATAAATTCTACATCAAACTGGATTAAAGGACCACTATAGGCACCTCTTGGTGCGCATGCGCATTCAACGCTGATGTCAAAAGAGGGAGGAGAGTTCCCCAGCGCCGAGGGAGCCTATCACTGGAGAAAGGTAAGAGTTTAACCCTGAGCGGGAGTGGGACACTGAGGGTGGGGGGGACCTAAAGACCCTATAGTGCCAGGAAAACGAGTTTGTTTTCCTGGCACTATAGTGGTTCTTTAACTAATATTCTGTCTAGAAATACTGGATTTAAGGAAATACTAATAAATAAAAAAAATTCAAAAATGATTTGAAATACCATAAAGGGAG